TATGACACGTTGAAGAAACACAAACCCACATGTAGACGAAGGACCTGCAATAATCTAGGAGCAAGGACGCTACTAGGAGCAAACATCTCACGTCTTGGCCGCAAACCATGACTGAACCGTGGAATCGCGTGGAATGAACATGGAGTGATCAACCGTCCAACCGAAGCTTCTTGAAAGAGCGCCGCCCTCCTCCTTGCTGATCATTCCGTACAGTCAAGTTGCTTGGTGTTGTAGTGCCTCGGATGCAAAGCAAGAATAGCTCGGACTTCCCATGTGAGTCCGTGTGAGCAATATCTGGTGGATTACGCTGATGCACAGCGTGAACAACTCTAGACTGGCAGTTGGCTTGCTTCGAACCTTTGGTGTTGGTCACTGGATTCAATAGGTGATGAGTCACTCCACGCAAAGATACGTATTGCTCAAGAAGAAGATGAACAACATGTTGCAGAATCAAGTGCAATCGAAGAGCTCAGCGATCGCCTGCGTCTGAAGCCAACCTAGGACAAAGCAACTGGAGAAGCCGCTAGCAGTTTAAGAAAAAATTTATTCCCGCGAAGTGGAGTTATTCATTCGGAACGGGTATCGTTCGTGGAGAAACGCTCACTGCAGTCAGTCACTGTAGCAATTAGTTCGGACGAGTTGGTCCATGACGTGCTATAGTTTTTAAAATGGAAACTTTTTGTATATATACAATATATATGTTTCCCGAATGCGTAGCGAAGGGTTCTTGTTTAACTTGGGAGTCTGAGGGTAGAGCTGTGTTTGCCCGACGTTGTTTTCGAGTTCGCAACCGTTTGCAACCGTCTGCAGCCGTCCGCCACCGTCCGTATGATGTCTCTATGGCCCTGACATTGGGGGAAGCTTTTGCACGTGACTTATAGTGACTTTTCATGGATGTGGCACGTGTCAGTTTGCACCGCGATTACATTGTGATTTGCACGAAAATGACATGTCGCGCAAGAAACGTGATGGATTTCGCTGCACAGGCGCAGGGTTTCGTAAGATCCGCTGCTTTCTGCGCAGTTCCATTGGGATTAGCGTTTGGAGAGTGGTGTTTTTGGGGTGGGGGTTTGCGTTTCAGGGTGTGGCAAGCGCTGTTTTCGCGACAAGTCTCAGCTGAAATGGTGATTCTGGTGGATGGGAGTGTGTTCAGAACGGGCCGAAATCATTCTAAACGTGTGGTGTGGTGCAAATTTTGTTGAGGCTCACATGAGATGATATTGTCACTTTTCGTGGCAGGCGCAGTACTTTGTGCGGGTTTTGAGGTGTGGAAGTGCGATTTTCGTGGCAGGCGCAGGGAATCGTGAGGTTGCGATGTGTGACGGAGGTGACATTTCGTGGCAGGCGCAGTACTTTGTGCGCGTTAGACGTGTGGACGCGGAAAGATTCGTGGCATGCAGGCAGGGAATCGTGAGGTTGTGAGTTGTGGTAGAGGTGAATGTCGCTGTGACATTGGGATTGGCGTGTGAGCGGGTGTTGTTTGGAGGGGCTGGAATGGGGAAACTGCTTGGCAGGGCTGCGCGATGGGTGTGCTCCGATGGGTGTTTCCGCTTGACTTTGGGAGGAAGTCTCGTACGAAACGCTCGTTTTGGAGCCATGACGTGTGACTCTTGGAGGAAGTCTCGTACGAAACGCTCGTTTTGGAGACATGACGTGTGACTTTTGGAGGAAGTCTTGTACGAAACGCTCGTTTTGGAGACTTGAGTGTCTAGCAGAGAAGAGTGTCAAGCAAGAATGTCTAGCAAGAGTGTCTAGCAAAATGTCTAGCACAGAGTGTCAAGAAAGAGTGTCTAGCAAGAGTGTCTAGCAGAATGTCATTTCAAGAGTGTCCAGCAAGAGTGTCTAGCAGAGTGTCCTGCCCAGCAAGAGTGTCTAGCAAAGAGTGTCCAGCAAGAGTGTCCAGCAGAGTTTCAAGCAAGAGTGTTAAGCAAGAGTGTCTAGCAAAGAGTGCCCAGCAAGAGTGCCAAGCAAGAGTGTCAAGCAAGAGTGTCTAGCAAAGAGTGTCCAGCAAAGAGAGCCAAGAAAGATTGTCTAGCAAAGAGTGTCAAGAGAGAGTGTCAAGCAAGAGTGTCCAGAAAGAGTGTCTAGCAGAGTGTCAAGCAAGAGTGTCCAGCAAGAGTGTCAAGCAAGAGTGTCAGGAGAAAGTGTCAAGAAAGATTGTCTAGCAAAGAGTGTCAAGAAAGAGTGTCAAGCAAGAGTGTCGTGTCAAGAGTGTCCAGCAAGAGTGTGAAGCAAGAGTGTCCAGCAAGAGTGTCAAGCAAGAGTGTCAAGAACAAGTGTCAAGAAAGATTGTCTAGCAAAGAGTGTCAAGAAAGAATGTCTAACAAAGGGTGTCCAGCAAGAGTGTCCAGCAAACGTGTCAAGCAAGAGTGTCAAGATAGAGTGTCTAGCAAAGAGTGTCAAGAAAGAGTGACTAGCAAAGAATGTCAAGAAAGAGCGTCAAGCAGGAGTGTCTAGCAAGAATGTCTAGCAAAGAGTGTCCAGCAAGAGTGCCCAGCAAACGTGTCAAGCAAGAGTGTCTAGCAAAGAGTGCCCAGCAAACGTGTCAAGCAAGAGTGTCAAGCAAGAGTGTCTAGCAAAGAGGGTCAAGATTGAGTGTCTAGCAAAGCGTGTCAAGAAAGAGTGTCAAGCAAGAGTGTCCAGCAAGAATGTCTAGCAAAGAGTGTACAGCAAGAGTGTCCTGCAAAGAGTATCAGGCAAGAGTGTCAAGAAAGATTGTCTAGCAAAGAATGTCAAGAGAGAGTGTCAAGCAAGAGTGTCCAGCAAGAGTGTCTAGCAGAGTGTCAAGCAAGAGTGTCCAGCAAGAGTGTCAAGCAAGAGTGTCAAGAGAAAGTGTCAAGAGAAAGTGTCAAGAAAGATTGTCTAGCAAAGAGTGTCGTGTCAAGAGTGTCCAGCAAGAATGTCAAGCAAGAGTGTCCGCAGGGCTGGGGAGGTGCTGGCGCTGCTTTAGTTGATGACTCTGCGAGTCATCTCCGAAAACAAAAACGTTTTAATTGCTACGCTTCTATACAAAGTGATTGCATTCGGGTTCGTGGGTTTTATCAGATTTTTTTCTCCAATGGTGGACGTGGACCATTTCCCATTCCACATCATTCTACTCATGCTCCTTAGACCCATCATCAAGAACAGCCGTCAGTGCCCTCGCAAGCTCTCGGTAAGTCACCAGCCTCGCATGGCCTCGGGGTTCTTGGCGAAGCCCTGCAAGGCCTTCGCAGTCTCGGGGTTGCCTCGTTCGCTCAAACAGGAGGGCAGGAGATTGGGGATCCATCGGGATCAATGTCTCGTAGCGGTGAGAGAGCTGATCCATGGATGATGGTTGTGGGATGTTGTGGGTGCCAAAGCTGCAGGTACTTGGCAAAGGGCAACCCCCCAGGGCCTGTCATGGTTTTCCGATGCTTTGAAGTTGAGCAGGGTTGAGGGGTGATCCAGGGAGGGTGTTGAGAGAGGTGTTCACTAGATTTGAAAGGTCTGAAGATGAGTTGGATAAACTCAGAAAATCAATTCATCACCTTCAAATACAGGCTTATTATGGACAACTTATCAAAGCCACCCTCGTGATCCCGACTTGACATGATTTCAGGCCCAGCGGCTTTCCACATACGCTTTCACCTCTGCCCAAGTGCCCTCATCGATATCGGGCAATCGGGCGATCTGCATGGTGGTTCCATCCTGGGTTTGGCTCACGGGCCTTGTGAAACGGTCGTAATATACCACAAGAAACTTGATGCTGGACACAAAAGCCGGCAAATAGCTCGGCATGGTTCATATTTGTTCCAATGTTGACAGGGTCCTGGTTGGAGCTTCTTCAGAGAGACCTGTGTAGCGGCTGTCGATGTGTCTAAGGCCAAGCTTCACTGATCTTCAAAGTCTCAGTGGCGGGGGTCTCGGCGGCCATGTTGAGCCTGTGTTGGGCGAGTCCATGCGCATTCAGCATTGCAGAATTGCCCGCCTCTTCATTACTGGTATTACTGGAATCAAGGCATGGAAACCTCTCCTAAGATTCTACTAAACGATGTCTTATTTTCAAGCGCACCGGAGATTTTACACATACTCTCAGAACAGAGATTTCTGGGCTATGGTTTGCATGGACGTTGGCCTTTGAATTTGTCTGGGGTGGCCGCCAGTTGGCTCGCTTAGATAAGGTCCCTTGTGTTTACACCCTTGGTTTGAGGCTCCCTGACTCTGATTTGGCATTCCAGTGGGCTTGTGCAGTTTCTGCATGGGATGGGGAGTTCATTATAATCGGCCCGTTTAGTCCACAATCGTTCTGAAGGGAGCCTGCAATGGTGGGCTCAACAAGATCCAACAGATTCCAACAGCACCTTAGGACCTGAGAGAGGATGTCTTGAGCCGCTCAAGTCTCTACCGAAATTGTCAGTTCTGCGTCTCAACGAACTGGACATGCCGGATATGGCTCACTATGTTTCCTTTGTGTTTAATCAATTCCCAGCAAAATGAGAAAAGGTTTAATCCTGCGCAGGATCAGCTAGTCTTCTTGGAAGCTGTGTGGTCCGGCGCTATAACGCACCCCTCCGAGACATGGACCCTTCAAGATCGCGTTTTCCTGGATATGTAAATACCTATGATCAACTAACTCCTGCCTTCCCAGACCAGACTCCGTCTCACTAGCAGCGGCCTGTGCTAGATTCACCAGGGAGAAGTTCTCTTGATGAGCCAAAACTCTGTCGAAGGTTCCCCGGGCGATGTCTTCAGCAAACCACCGCTGTGTGTCCATTTGCTCGTGCGTGTGCGGCCATGTGAGAAGAGGTGACCAATTCACTACTTTAGCTCATTGCCCAACTTCTACGCACCCATGTGACTGCTAAACGAATACTTGTAGCCCCAGCACAGTGGTTGCCAAAGGAAGCTTGCTCCAAACTGCTGGGTTTGCCCTACTATCGCATCCTATAGCACCCATAGCCATGTACCCGACCCTATACACCGAACGCAACGTTTGGTGTGTGTAGCGATTTACCCGCAAAACTAGCTCAGTCTCTTGCGGCGGGCTCATTCGGCTCCTTCTCCTACCAACATGTAGGCGAGGGAGCAACAAAGCTTCACGATGTTGTACGCATGTTTGCATTGGTTTGCTTTGGGAGTTGTCTTTTTCTGGTTTCCAAAGCATGGCTGTAGATGGGTGCATTCCTTGGTCAAAATGAGACACAGGATTTTACCGTTTTGAAAAGAGCGCCATCTGACATACCACCGAAAGTATCCACAAACGTTGCCAAGTATTGGGGTTGCGCTTGTCTCTTGAGATGCTCCCAGGATTCCTGTTGTTGCCTGCATTCTGAGGGGGAACTCAAACTCTGTCTCACGGGATGGCATCAAACCATATTTCAAGCACCACAACCAACAAGCTCATTCTCTGCCTCCATATAGGCCGGCTAGACCTGATCACAGTAGACCCGATCAGTCTGCTGTCGAGAGGCTAGTCTGAGATCTGTGCTTTGCAACTCCAATGGAAAGTCGAAGTCACGAAGTCACATGGGTGCTGCAGCACAAAATGAGCTGTTTAGTGGGAAGTTTGCCGGCGGCTCCCTTTCCTCCAGAATCAGGCGGCAGAACACGTTAATAGGCTTCGCGGACAGGACAGGATGAGAAAGCCACACTGTTGCTTCCATCTGCAAGCCGAGTGACAGGCTGGCGCGGCCAGCAGCTCCGGACAAGGAAGGTGGTCAATGATGTGTCACTCAAAGGTGGTTGAGAGCTAGTGGAAATGGAAGCGTCCCTTGCTGTGTGTTTGTCATGCCGTGATTTATTTTTTTCCGTCCATTCGCGGCGCAGCATCTAGTATCACTATGTCTGGTTGCTTTGCTATCTTGCACCTCATTGTCCGTCCATGAGTAGAACCAGCTGCCAAACAAACAGCGGAAAGAATGAAACTGGCCAAAGATATGACACTCCAGGTTCAAAGACAATCTTTCACTCACTGGCTCACCCAACATGCGAATCTCTCTCTCTCTCCCTCTCTTCCCTCTCTCCCTCTCTCTCTCTTCTCGATTTGGTGGACGGCCACTACTATTTGGAGCCGACAGGAGGGCATGTAAAATCCGGTGGCACCAAAAGATTGGAGCCATCTCATACCAGGATGGGGATGCGTTTGGATGCGTGTGTGGAGGAATGTCAGAAACCTGGAAATCTAAGCAAATCCTTTTTCAACGATGGCACAGCTGTCCACCAACGTTGGTGGTATCGATCAGCACGCAGCTAAGTCACGGTCACAGCGACGTGGGGTTGTGTCCCGCCCCTGGTAGACAAGCATAAAGGTTCCATCATCTTCACAGTCTTAGGTCCGAGGTTGAATCTGCTGTCAAACCCATTGAGCCATTCACTCCTAAGTGGAATCGAAGGCTGCAACTTTCCCGTTCATGCAACCTGCAGCCACTAGCAGGTGCCTTGGCCGGTCGGTGACGAATGACTACGATCAGCTTGCAAAACAGGTTTGTGTGCTGAGAAAAGAGAACACAAAGCTCCAAGTACTTGGGACTTGAGGCTTTGTCGAGTATTAATAAATTGTGAGCACAATTTAAGAATACTGTTGCAAGGAATATTGGTCTTTACATGATTGGATGGTATTACACGTAGCATGAAATGTTTTTTTTTTT